TATGACTCGCTGACCTCTGATGAAACATATCGTATCAGTATAGGGTATGTTTGTTAATTTTCGTTCCGATTTCTCTGCAAACATTGGCATCTAGCTTTACAGCTATGATACCAGGGCGATCCTTCTTCTTTTTTTTTCTTATTGCCAAACTTTAAACTACTCTGGTGGTTTCCACGTAGGCACGTGTTCGCTGGAAAACTTTCTCCCCAATTATCCATCACCAGTGTAGAAATTCAGTGATTTTTCGGTTAAAAACGATGTATTTACACTTTTCTTGGTTTTTTCAGTTCCTAGTGAAGAAAACAGGTTATAAATAGATGCAAAGGTTTCCCGGAGCTGGTGTGTGTTTGAGGGGGAAGGGAGGGAGTGGGAAAGGCTATAGAAAAGACTATGCGTCACCGCTTTCTATTTATTCTCCATGAGTTTGCTTGTTAAGGAACAATCATATGAACATTTTGGTTAACATATTGGTAAGAGGAGACAAACAGGCACAATAGACACAGTTCCTGTACCGAATGACCTTTTTTTTGAATATGCCAGTCCTGCTTCCTTCATAGAGAGTTTTAACAGGTTATAAGGAAGCGTTCAGACTTCGCGACGGCAGGCTTCGGTCGTTCGACGCGATCAATGCAGTCGAAAGCATGCGATTAAATCGCGTCGAACGCGCAACCAAGACGCTGCCGTCGCGAAGGCTGAACGCTGCCCAAATAAAAGTCAAGTTTTTTGGTGCCTAACTCACAACGTTAACCTGGTTCGAGGGGGCCACACGGCTACCGTAAAGTCGGCGACTCTTGTCGTCTGCAGTCCTTTAATCCTGAGCCGGGATCGGAAGGCTGTGTTCATACTTGGCGTCAGCGTTTGCGTTAGGAGCGTCCGCCAGCGTATAGCAGCGTTTTGAGGGCTGACAAGGGAAGTATAGAGATTGATCTAGCACTTTGAGCATTTTCGCGGCAAAAGTTTCTGTATGCTCGACATGCTGACGCAAAGTATGAAGGCAGTCTAACTTCGGTAAGAGGAGGAGCGCAACGACCAACGTTTCTGTGGTAGCGCTACTCTCAAGCATGGCCCAACTATGTTTGCGCCTTCTCTCGATGAAAAAGCTCTAGAAAGGTAAGCATTGCTTTGAGAGACAGGCAGATATGCGTTAAGCTTTACTGGTGAAATCTAGCGTCCAGAGCCTCAGGGGCTTTGAAGGGGCTACTGTTCGCCCCCCTTATGAACCACTGAGCTCCGAGTGCTTTGTTCGATCAATAACATGTGAATGCTATATCATTGATCAATGAAGATTTATCGAGTAATTCCTCGCTTTCCAACACTGTAATCTTTCCAAAATATATCACTCATGCCCCCCGGTGTTTCATTTAAGATGAAATAAGCAGGGTTGTGTTTCCCTCTTTCCCCGGTGTTCAGTGTGTCAGATGTTTAGGTTTAGGGTCTAGTTTCGCAATATGGATTTATTTTGAATAAAGGAGTATCGGATGACCCTATACTACTCAGTCAATCAATACTTTTATTCAGATCCTTCCATCCAGACATCGCAGCTTCACCTAGTTATTCCGATGTTACCAAGTCATCGTTCAGCTACAATAATAGCTCTAGATTCTACACACTGGATGTGAGTTCTCTTCACTTAACAACCTCCCCGTCAAGCTTGCTATTAAGTTGACTCGAGATGGGTACTTATTTTAGTATGGTAGCGTTCTGGAGTCATAGAGTAATCTAAGCGTTTAACAACTATGCAAAACCCTACAAGTTTTGGGCGCAGTTCGGCTTGGAGGGGGCATTTGGCACTTTCCTGGCTATTGTCGTGTTCATTGTTTTACAGGAGTTGACAGGTTTTCTCTACAAGAGTTGTCAAGTGTTCTCTGCAAACTTCAACTGTTATCACTTAATGGCTTCACAAGATTGCATAGATCTTTACTTGATGGTTTTACGGCGATAGAACCAGCGAAAGTGCCCCCCCCCTCATCCTTCTCAAGTCGAATCGCACCAAGTTTTGTTTTCAAGAACTTATTGAAAACTCTTCAGACTGCCGTAATAGTACAAGGAAACTCGTTAGGAAAGACTGGGTTGCGAGTACGTTTGGTGCGCGCAGAGAATTGGAGCGAAATCGACGACTCGTGGAAGGTAGCGTTTTTATGGATCCCCGTTAACCTCATTCGATCATTGTTTGATGTAATTCGATTAAGGTACCGGAGAAATTAGATGACAACCAACAGAATTTGCTCGATGTATGGGTTAGAAGAAGTAAGGACTCGGAACGTTGGACGCATATTTTTGTGGCATCAGTAGTGGTTCTGATCACTTTTGCTAACATACTAATGGGTTGTGAGGTAGGGCAGATTTGTTATTATTATCTCTAGGCGCTGTCCTAATAAGGGGGGGGGGAGGGAGGAGGAGCATTTGGTGCAGCAGTAAAAAAACCCTATTTGGCAAAGAAAGCTCAGCAACTCTGGACCACTTCTCCCTGAGCTGAATTTTCCTAGAGCTTCTTGTACTTACTTCATATACCTTGGAAACTTGCACCAAGATGCCCCTCAGGCTTATTGGAATAGCTTGTCTATCTCTGTTTTTGCCGCTAGGTGCCCCTAAAAAGGGTTGAGGACCCACTTTTGACGCCAGCCGTTTTGGTCCTTGACCTGGATTCCTGAAGGGCTTAAAACCCTGGACACTTTGAGTTCTTTATATAGGACTTAGGCTGTTTTCATACACTGCGTCAGCGTTTTGAGCGTCCACCTGCGTTCTGAGTGTACGCCAGCGTTTAGAGCGGGAAGGATAATACAAATATCGATATTGGCTTGAGCGTACGCCGGACTTAAAAGCTTAATACTCAGAACTGCCGGCGAAAACGCTCAAAACGATAGATCGATATCCATACTTTCTTAGTCTTAGTCGAAAACGCTGGCGTACGCCCGAGATACTGGCGCGAAGTGTGAACGCAGCCTTGGAAAGATATCTTCTGTTAGTTCTGTTGTTAAAAAAATTTCTTTTCAGTTGGACATGAGTGCAGTTTATAGTACCATAAGAAGACCTATAGCCCCGGCAATTGGGTTTGCTGCTCAGTTTGTTATTATGCCTCTGGTAAGTACTGGTTTTTTTGAGTACTCATACAGCTGACTAGTAGACGAAGTGATTTTCGAAGCAATAACGAACATTTTCTGAGTTTTGTTTTTCAGCTCGCCTACGGCATCGCTAAAACGGTGTTTGTGTCACGAGGACTGTTCTCGTTGGCTCTTGGGCTTTTCATCACGGGCTGTTCTCCAGGTGGTGGAGCGTCCAACTTCTGGACACTTCTTCTAGATGGAAATGTGAATTTATCTGTAACAATGACATTTGTATCAACACTTGCGTCACTAGGTAAGGCACGACGTCGTTTCGTAGTTCTATTCTTTGAAATCAGGTGTAATTTTATACTATTAGTATTCTGTTTCAGTAATGATGCCGTTCTGGATCTCACTACTTGGAAAAGAATTCCTGCAGGGATTTTCAACGGATTTCAAAATTCATATCCCCTATGGTAAGCGGCACTTTTACATTTTACTTTCGGTATTTTTGCAAATGTTGCTGTTATATTCGCGCTTCTTGCAGCAAAAATTACACGTTCTCTCGTTGCCCTTGTTGTTCCACTTCTCATCGGTATAGCCATAAAGAAATGGAAACCGGAATGGGCAGCGAAGTCACGTAAGGTATGTCCTTTAGATGATTGATGTCAGTTTACTATGTAGAATTCGGCAAAGAAAGTAATATGATAGTATTAGAATGTTCTTTGTTCACGTATAATGATGTCAATGGCATTATTATCACTTAAAATTACGCCCTTCAATTTTCGGGCGAGGTTTTCGCCAGACTTTGCTTTTATTTGTACTTCTGCGCTCAGAACTACCCCAGGACAAACGCTGGTAAGTAGGACCGCTGTATAGTTGGGGAGACGGACAAGACAATCGTATTTTGTAACGTCGTCACGCGCGGCGTTTCATATGGCGATGTGCGGCACTTTGTCAACTGGAACAGCCAAATTCGCATGAATCTAAGTGGAGGCAAGGCTTCATAGCGGCCGGAATCAAGACTTTCCGTCCCTCAACACTCAAATCAAACTGCCTCGTAGGACAACAGGTCCATGGGCGTGGCGGCGCTCGTCACTCCTACCAGCTTGGTACATTACGATTGTCTTGTCACGTGGCTCTAAAACGCAGAAAACGCTAACGCTAAAACGCATGGGGGGTAGACTCGACCACCAATTGGTCTCTGAAATGGTTCCAAATCTTCAGGGGGTAATCTATCCATGAGGTAGATTTCGATGCTAGTTTGTTTGGGCGTATGAAAAAAAAATGGTATTTCTCTTCTTGCATTTCGTGAGAAGTGGTTAGTCTACATCTGGGTCATAGTCAGAATTGCCGGCGACAAAAGCGTTCTCTCCATCATCCTTCGATAGTTCTTCATTTGAACCGTGTTTGTATCCACAAAAGAAAAGTGAGAATGGTGGGCGGGGGCTGGGGAGTGGAAGAGAAGTAGTTTGTTACCAGTAATGACCCTTGGTTATTCTTTGTGGACGCAACCGCTCTTTGAATTATGGTGTTGTCAGGCGCGGCAACTAATTAAAACATTTATGGGTAGGAAATTCCCCCGCTGTGTCTTCCTGATGTGGCATTCTGGGATCGATTACATAAACAACTCATTTCGTATTCGGAGCGAAATGTTATTTGTTTTTTCAAGAATGAATTATAAACTGGAGAAAAAGCTTAATGAAATGTGCAAGAGGCAAATTGGAGATGTGGTACGACTCATATCCCTTATCCCTTCTTGGAGAAATTAGCGCGCGGTGGTGCACCCTTAGAATGTGAGGCTGTTTGGCTCCGGCTCTGGCCGGTGATGTCACAGTTTTAGTATATTTGATAATTGGGAGGGAGGCATCCTCAACATTTTCCCATATGACATGTCCGTAGGCGTCATGTACTTTTGCCTATTCCCCTGGGGAACAGCTCTTCTATAGCACTGCTGAAAATATTTTCTTCAGAGCAATTACCCTAGTGCATTCTCATTGCCCCATTTGTCTTTATGGCCTATGGACTTCTTTGGCTTGCGCTGTCACATCTGAGAAACATAGAGCTTAACATCTGCACTTAGGGCCGCGAGGAAAAAGCAAGGGGCTGCGAGTGCAACAGAACTAAAGCCGATTTATGGAGTTGCGCTTTGAGCGATGGTGTAGAAGGGTAAAGGGAAAGACATTTCGGCACAGGTCACCTCGGAAGAGGGGGGGGGGCAATCTGCACTTCTACTAGTTCCTTTGCTAATTTGGTAACTAGCAGATCTTATTTTGTTGGGACCTGTACACTCGTGTAAAGCTAGGAAATGGTGCAAGTGAGCTCCTCTGGTTAAAGAAATTACAAGTCTCCTCAAGGAGAACTGTACAAACTTCGCTGAATATCGTGTGGTGCGCCCACCAAGCCGAATGGCGCCAAAAGGAATTCAGGCGCTCAGGTCTCAAAATGACCATGAAATTGAAGTCGGCTTCTGCAACGAGCTCCCTTAATCACCGTGGCCCCTGAGTCAGTTCAGTTGTGTGAGACCAGGATAGCATGTCGTGGGCATGGCGTGTCCTCAAAGGTCTTATCGATACTGAGATGTCCGCTGTTAACATATATAAGTAGGAGCAGTTCGGTGACGGGGGGGGGGAGGCATTTTGCACTTTTGCTACTTCTCATCGAGATGTCGAGCCATCTAGAGAGCTATTTCATGAGCTCACAAGAGTTGACAGGTTTTACCATGGTGGCTCGACGAGCTTGCTCCAGCTCCGTTTCACCAGGTGAGACGTTGTAAACCGGAACTAGTGGGCAGCAAAATGCAAAATGCCCCCCCCCCTGTCGTCACAACTGTGCCGATAAGTGGCCTAATTTTTATTGCTGATAATCGAAGTCGGATCGATTATAGTTAACGAGTTGCAGAGCCAGCAATAGCTCTGCTTCTTGTTTACTATTACTGCTTGCTTGTTGCATAGCAATGCACGAGCTGAATTACTGCAGTTTTGAGAAGAAGTGTATTAGGAGGGCGTAAAAAAGTTGACAGAAGACCTTCTATATATACGTATTGACAGGTATTTCTCTTCAAACATTAAAATCAGTGACAGCTCCAGGGGTGGATCTTTTCCCCTAGCGCTATCCCGCATGGAGTTCCCTGCGATTGTTTGACTCGGGGTTCTCTAGGGAATTGAACTATTTCTTTGAACCCCCCCCAGTTGATTTGGTAAAAATCAAAAGTCATTACAAGTAGAATAAACACAAAGCAGAACACGTGAAACAGAGTAATAAAAAACACATATATATGGAAATTCAATAGAAAATGTGCAAAATGAGATGGATGCTGAATTTGAAAACCCAGCGCTCAAACAACTTTGATTTGAAAAACGGGAAGAAGTGAAATTATGTTGTAAATCCCCAAGTTCTCTATAGCTCTTTTGCAAGATATGCGTCCTTTTATGTCATATTTTGTGTGCTGATATTGTCGTCGTATTTGGGCGCGCAGTGGCAAATCTGTTTACTAAGTTCAGAATGATGACGATACCAGCTCTACTAGGGTAAGCTTTTTCATTTTATCTTATCGAACTTGTGTTTTCTTGCCTTTGGCTATACTGGAGATGGGAGGGAGAGAGTGAAAAACGGCGCGACCGAGTGTACTTGTCTGCGTCGTCTTAGTGTGCGTTCATACTTCGCGACCCGATCGCGCGACCCGACCCGCCGGCCTCAATGCCAAATTTCCAGTGGGCCTTCTCCTTTAAACTTCCTAACTCAAAACGATGTAGTGCATAAACCGCTGCCCAATTCGAAGTGCGGCTATGCGGCGCTCTATCGATAACGTGACAGAACAGATTGTTAGTTGGCGCGATTGAATCTGGCGAGACTATGATCGCGATGCTTTACCTGTTCTGAATCATTCTCCCTTCAGGAGAGATTAAAAGGAACGAGCCGGAAGTCCAGTGCATACATGGCATAGTAACATCGCCTGCCCATCCTCCCGACTTCCATAATAGCACCTTGTCCTTTTTCCTGGATGTCTGAAAGCAGCTGAGGCAGAAACCCCACAGATCGCAGCTCCTTTTGCTACTCACAAATTGCGCTACTAAAATGGGTTACATGTCATTCTCACAGTACGAGAGAATATTAGCGCGGATGCTGAGTTGTTACAGTGGCACGTGTAGTCCTCGGCGTTTTTAGCGCTGTTTAGCCTGGACGGCATATTGCACTTTTGTTTGTTCTTTTTGTTTTCATTGATGTGTGAAGTGTTTACGTTGATAAGGACTGTGAACTTCCGTGAAGTTGTGAAATGGTGCGAGTGAGTCACTTCCGTCACAGGATTTTACTGGTCATTTCAATGTGGCTTGTACAAGCTTAGCTGGGTACTATTTGATGCCCACACCAAGCCGATCGGGCCTTCTTTTTGCTCGCTAGACTTCGAACTTACTTTTCTAACTAGTTTTTCGCGCTCCATCGTCAATCGTAAAATCGCGCGGTCGCTGAATAGCAAGTGTAGCAGACTATGAACCTTGTTTAAGTAGCCTTTCAGTTGAATAGATCTCTGCTTTCAGAGGACTTCTACTGCCATGGTGTGGTTTCATGTTTGGCTGTTTTGTGTCGATTATCACACGTCGTACACCGCCTGACGTAACGGCTATTGCCATAGAAACCGGCATTCAGAACACGGGCATAGCTATATTGGTGTTGAAGGTAATGACATGTTTTCTAATCTTACTTATGCGGAGAGCAACGAAGTGTTTTCATCCGAATCGGATTATGAAACGTTCCAGTAAGGGGATGAATTACCAGAAATAGCCCGCAGGCGAAAAAAGTATGACTACTGTAGATAATGTAGGAATGAAGACGAGTCATGTACTGTATACGATGCAGTATATCAACTAAAGATGATGCAGTTACTGTGTGGCGATCTCTTGACATCCAAGAAGTGGCCGAACACCTTAGCCGGCTGCAATATTTGGCTTCGGAGGGGCATTGCGCTTTTATCAGTTCCCTTTTACTAGTTCCTGTCGTATTACACGTCACAGCTTGGTGAGAACTGTACTTGTCGGTGTAAATGGGGCTCCTGCTATTGCATAGCTACAGAAATTCACAAGTTCCCAAGGATGCATCGGCAGGGGTCGACGGAAATCAGCAAACTGCCTCCTCTAAGCCGAACTGCGCCTAACCTGCGTTTGGAATTAGCCCCTCGAATTGGCCCCTTCTGTCGCGCAGTTCGGGAACTCACTGATCGCTCTCTACCGGTAATCATTGGATCCTTGCAACTGCCAGTTCAGTCTTGCCAAGATAGAACTTCTTTTTCAACCATTCGCATGCGGCCTGGCACGGAGCCCGGGTGTACCTACGCGAGATATGAAATTTCCCAACCGATCGTGCTCTGCTGTTAGTCTTTTTCCTTAGGAACACCTGATACCAAACAAGCCTTTTTATTTTCTCCCAATGAACACCCGACGACAGCTGTTCCCTTATGAACCACTCTCATCTCCGTCATGTTCGGGGAGTAATCGGTGATTCTGCCATACTATGGCAGACTAAGCACTGGGAAACTGAACCCGTGAAAACCTAATGGACCACTTTCTACTTTACCACCCCCATGTAGTTGTGTGGAAATGTGTCGTGCGTAATGTTATTCAATTTGCATCGTTGAAAAACAACTGGCAGTGGTAATGACAGAGACCAGG